CAGGCTGCGGGCCTCGGCGCCGCCTGAGGGTTCGGTTCCGCTGTCCCCAGCGTGGGCGTCTTCAAGAATGGCCGCGTGGAAATCATCGCCAACGACCAGGGGAACCGCATTACGCCGTCCTACGTGGCGTTCACGCCCGAGGGGGAGCGTCTGATCGGAGATGCTGCCAAGAACCAGCTGACATCCAATCCTGAGAACACGGTGTTTGATGCCAAACGGCTCATCGGCCGCACTTGGAATGACCCTTCCGTGCAGCAGGACATCAAGTATCTACCCTTCAAGGTGGGTCTGAGCACGCAGGAGGTAGGGGGGGCACCTACAGTTCCTCTCTGGAGAGGCTCCTGGATTGTGGTGCTCTTCTGAGCAGCCCTGTGGTTCCTTGGCTTTCCCCCCAGGAGGGTTATGGTGCAGGGATGTGATATATAAACAGCAGCTCCTTGTGTTAGCTAGTGGGTTGTCTGTTCATAAAAGCTTTGCTTAACTTCCAGAGGGAAAGAAGCACTTGGGCAAGTAGGGGTAATTTTGTGAGTTGTTGAATAGGACAGTATATATCGTTCTTTTCAGGTGGTTGAGAAGAAAGCCAAGCCCCATATTCAAGTTGATGTTGGAGGTGGGCAGACAAAAACATTTGCTCCTGAAGAAATTTCTGCTATGGTCCTGACAAAGATGAAGGAAACAGCAGAGGCGTACTTGGGGAAGAAAGTAAGTTCATGAGTGTTACTACTAAGAATGTAAAGCAGTAGCTTTACAAAACTGAAGATGGGTGGGCTGAATCTTAAATCTGCTTCATGCTGCTGGTCTCTGCAGGAGCCCACTTGAGTGGGCTGAGCTGTGATGGTGGGTTTTCACCTCTGAAGAACAATGGGCTGCCTGTTGCCAGCATTGCTGTGGTTGTTTACAATCTCTGCACTTGCTTTCTGTAGCAAAACTGTCTCTCACTCCTTAGGTTACACATGCTGTTGTTACTGTGCCAGCCTACTTCAATGATGCTCAGCGCCAGGCCACAAAGGATGCTGGTACTATTGCTGGGTTGAATGTGATGCGTATCATCAATGAGCCGTAAGTATCCTGACCCCTCCTGCCCGCTGCTCTGGGGAGAGGTGGTCCCAGTGCCCTCACTTTGGTTGTTCCCTGTACAGAACAGCTGCTGCCATTGCTTATGGATTGGACAAGAGAGAGGGTGAGAAGAACATCCTTGTGTTTGACTTGGGTGGTGGAACTTTTGATGTCTCCCTCCTCACAATTGATAACGGAGTCTTTGAAGTGGTGGCTACTAATGGTGACACTCACCTGGGTGGAGAAGACTTTGACCAGCGTGTTATGGAGCACTTCATCAAGCTCTATAAGAAGAAAACTGGGAAAGATGTGAGGAAGGATAACAGAGCAGTGCAGAAGTTGAGACGGGAAGTGGAGAAAGCCAAGCGAGCCTTGTCATCCCAGCACCAGGCTAGAATTGAAATAGAATCCTTCTTCGAAGGAGAGGATTTCTCAGAGACTCTCACTCGAGCCAAGTTTGAGGAGCTGAACATGGTAAGTTTAGAATGGCAGAGTTACTGCCTTAGCTCTAGATTGCTGCAAATGTGCAGTGACACTGCCCTTTGGAGTATAAATAACATTTTGCTTGCACTGCAAAGCAGGCAGCTGCTCATTGCAGGGGTAGCTGGTGCTCTGTTAGTGACAGCTGAGGTATCATCTGGCTGGTCATGAGCCAGCTGATGTTCCTTCTCTAGCGGGGCTGGCCTTCGTGCTCTCTCAGGCTGTGTAACTTGGGGCTAGGCATGGGGCAAAGAGCCTTACAGTCCTGTTTGGTCTTCCCAGGACCTGTTCCGTTCCACTATGAAGCCTGTTCAAAAAGTTCTGGAAGATTCTGACCTGAAGAAGTCTGATATTGATGAGATTGTTCTTGTTGGTGGCTCTACTCGCATCCCCAAAATACAGCAACTAGTTAAAGAGTTCTTCAATGGGAAAGAACCTTCTCGTGGCATTAATCCAGATGAGGCTGTTGCCTATGGTGCTGCTGTCCAGGCTGGTGTCCTCTCTGGGGACCAGGATACAGGTAATGACACCTTTACCATGCTTTGGGAGAGTATTGACTGGATATGGGTTATGGACAAACAAATGGAGGAGGACTCACTGCTTTTCCAGTCCTTGAATTTTTATGCCTCTGGGGCTTTGGGATCCTCTTGGCAGTGATGGGCTGCTGTGTTTCTTTCCAGTTGAAATCATTCTATGTCATGCTCTTACCCTTTATCTGTTACAGGTGACTTGGTGCTCCTTGATGTCTGTCCCCTCACACTTGGCATTGAGACTGTTGGAGGTGTAATGACTAAACTGATCCCAAGAAATACCGTTGTTCCCACAAAGAAGTCTCAGATTTTCTCAACAGCTTCTGACAACCAGCCCACTGTGACCATCAAGGTGTATGAAGGTGAGTGTCACTTGTTGGTAGCCCACGTGACAGCTGGAATATGTCTGTAGGGCCCCTACAGACAGCTGCTGTCTTAAATGCTGTAGGTATTTTCTAGATGCTCATGGATCTTTCCTCATAGAGGAGAGCTTGGTACCATGGCAGCTCTCTGAAGTGGCTCTGATCAAGCTGCTTCGTCTGCAGCAAAAGCTGTTATTAGAATTTTCATGTGTCTTTCTGTGGCTGCATTCCAACTGCAGGAGGTGCTTAGACAGCTGTCAGGCTGGCGTCAACACATCACCCTTAGCAAGACTGTAGCTCACAGCTTTGCAAAGTACAAACCAGAACCATGTCTCATTTTGTCTTCCAGGCGAGCGTCCCCTCACCAAGGATAACCATCTTCTGGGAACTTTTGATCTCACTGGAATCCCTCCCGCCCCTCGTGGCGTCCCCCAGATTGAAGTCACCTTTGAAATAGATGTGAATGGGATCCTCCGTGTCACGGCTGAGGACAAGGGCACTGGGAACAAGAACAAGATCACCATTACGAATGACCAGAACAGGCTCACACCAGAAGAGATCGAGAGGATGGTGAATGATGCTGAGAAGTTTGCTGAGGAAGACAAGAAGCTGAAAGAGCGCATTGATGCCCGGAATGAGCTGGAAAGCTATGCCTACTCTCTGAAGAACCAGATTGGGGACAAAGAGAAGCTGGGTGGTAAGCTCTCCTCTGATGACAAAGAAACAATAGAGAAAGCAGTGGAGGAAAAGATCGAGTGGCTGGAGAGCCATCAAGATGCAGACATTGATGACTTCAAAGCAAAAAAGAAGGAGCTGGAGGAGGTTGTTCAGCCAATTGTTAGCAAGCTCTATGGCAGTGCAGGCCCTCCCCCTGGCGATGAGGAAGCAGCAGAGAAGGATGAGTTGTAGATACTGGCACCTCCGAATGTTGTTGTGTATATATTGGACTAAGGAACACTTGTTTAAAATATTGAACTCTTAATTTGGAATGTAACATTGAATCTTCACTCGTGAGTGGAGCTGGAAACGCTAGCCCGAAGTGGCTGTATACTGCTTTTGTTAGCAGTTGCTTGATGTCTGGGGAGGGAAGGGGCGTGGGGGGGAGTGTAAATGCAAATGGGTGTAGAGGTATTGGCAGTGGAATGTCCTATTTAACAACGCGGTCATGTGAGCTTGGTGTAGAGCTTTTCTACCTGAAGTGACCACAATAAATTTGTTATTTACACTGGACTCTGCTTTAGCTCCATTTGTTACCAGTTTTAACCAGGACATGGACTGTCCTGAACTGCAAGGCTCAAACCCTGCAAGGTGAATGTGTGTTAACAGAAACTCAGGTGGGATTTGCACCTACTTTACACCTCTCTTGCAGCTTCTCTGGGTGGAATAGGCACTCTGAAGTGTGCTGGTGCACCTCGACCTCTGTGTGATCTTTATAGATCTTGTAAGGACAGGGAGTGGCCACTGAGTAACTGCCTATGGGGCTGGTGTCCTGGGCAGCTGCCTGCACTGGAGATACACATGGGCGGGAGAGATGAGCTGAGCTGCACCTCCCTACAGTACTAGAACCAGGCTTAGGAGCTTTAATGGGCCTCAGGGGACATAAAGGAGCTATTTTCTGCAGACTCTGAAAATCAGCCTTCTAGAGTTTTCTTAAAAGCCTAATTTGGAACTCAGTCTTCCTACTTAACCATACTCCTTCTCCCAGCCATGGGAGTAGGTAAATTAACTCAGTACAGCAGGAGCGTTTGTGGTAGCTGTGTTAACACCTCAAACCCACTCAGCAAGTCACCTTTTCCCTGGTGTGGGGGGCACTTTCTCTGGTTTTCATCCACTCATTTTTAAAACAGAGCTCTATTTCAGATCATCCTCCCAAAAGCTTCTTCCCAGGAAACACTGTGGCTCTGCAGAGTGAGTTGCTTTCCGTCACGACCAGCATGTGAGTTTCCTGGAAAGCCACCTGGATATGTGAAAGCCCTTCCAGGCTTTCAAACTCCACCAACCTGCTGTCAAGCACCGATGGATGAAGCTTTCCTGCAGCACCTGCTTTCCCCGTGTCCAGCAGGATCACATGCAGACAGCACCGTGCCTCAGGAGGGTGGTAGCAGAGTGCCATCCGTTCGAGGGTAAGAACTTCTTTATTGCAAAGAGAGAACCCGACAGTACAAAAGTGTGTAGAAAAGGCTGGTGCTGTGCAGGAGCACAGCTCTGCTATTCGATCAGACTGACGATGCAGTCCCTGTATATCTCCCCCTGGGTGTCCATCCCACCAAATACCAACAGCAGATGCACAACTGTGTCCCCAGCATGCCCCTCATCCTGGCTCTTCAGCAGGGAACCAGCTGTGGCTTCCCCAGTGGCAGCTCCTGTGTTTTCACTCTTCCCAGCCCACCAGGGAATGACACACATGGCGTGGTCCAGCCTCCCAGCAGGCAGAGGGGATTCAAACTGTAGAAGTGTCCACTGCTGCTTCTCTGCAGTGCAAAAACACAATTCACACCCTTAAATGTAGATTCACAGCTTTAGAGAGCACAGTGGGGCACCGTTCATTGCACTGGATGTTACTGCAGGGCAATGATAGCAGCTACCAGGGGTGAAGCCCGGGAGCAGAGGGGATAATGCATTCTCCAACTGTCCTGCAGCTGGGCGAAGCCTCCCTACCTGTGTGATACTTGTACGTGGTGTCCAGTGTCCCCTCTGGACCTATTCCACCAAAAATGTACAAGTGGTCTTTAAACACAGCTGATGAGTGGGATGCTCGTCCTCCCGGGATGTCACCAGTGGCTGGTATCTTAACCCACTTCATGTCAGCTGTTGGAAAAAGAACACAGCTGTGGTTATACATTATAAAAGCCCACAAGTTTTGTTGTTTCAAACAAGTAGGGAAATTTAAGCACTTAAGACCTGACCTTACAGAAAAAAGGTCCCCCAAATCCAAACACATCCCACAGCAGCATCACTCTGTGGTACCTCTGTCTATACTCACTTGTATCGATGAAGAACAGGTCGTTGTAAAAAACGTCCCCAGCTAAACCTCCGTGGATGAAGAGTTTGGTCCCAACAGCAACCACGATGTGTCCGTGCCGAGGAGAAGGGGGGTCACCGTCAGTATCTGCCTGGGACCAGGTCAGGGTGGCTGTAAATGGGGGTCCACATGTGTTAGGAAGAAAACCCTAGTGCTTCCCAATGAAGCACCTCCAGCAGGGCTGCAGAGGAGGTTGTGCTACCAAAGAACATGGCCCTACTGGAGCTTTTTTGGTCAGCCAGTAGCAGGACGGATTAATTCCAACTAGAAAGCAAATCCATCCTGGTACATGCAGGGCTGGAAGAATGAATAGGGCAGCACAGGATGATGTCACCATGGAAAGGAACTGGCTGTTGGGCAAATGGGATCAACCCCTCCCATCTCCCACGGTATTCCTCATCCCAGAGCTTTACTCCGCCACTTTAGCCCAAACTCCCATTGACTACATAAAGGCCAGTGCAGTGAGGAACATCTACCCATCCGTTTAAACTCATAGCCACAGCAGGGGCCTGACATTTCCGTGTCCTTTACAGTCGGAAATGCACAGCCCCTGTTCAACAGAGGATGGGTTCTGCTGTTTGCTGTAAGGGTCCTTTACATGTCCAGAGGTACCTGTGTCAAACACATGAAGCCGCTGGTCTTTGACCGGTTCTGCTCCTTTCTCTCCCCCTCCGAACACGTACAGACACCCTCCTACGGCTGCTGAGGACGTGTGGAACGTCCGGGGCAGAGGCTGCTCCCCGCTCACTTCAGGGCTCTCCCAGGTTCCTATTTCTAATTAAGACATTTATTAACAGAGCAATCACGGGGGGAACAGACAACATGTTCCCCTCTGTTCCCATCCCGAGTGATGGCACCACGGAGACACCCGGCAGTGTCACCGCCC